CCACCAACCATCACCACCTCTGACAGTTTCAACTGCAAGACTTTCCTCTTGCCTTCCTCTGGAGATCAAAAAACACAGTATATGATACTGTACTCTCAGCCCCACACACAAGAAAATACTTAAAGGTGTTTAAAAACACATAAATCTTAAGTTCAGATCTGCATCAAAATATCTGTGCTCTTTTCTGGATGGGTGGATGTATTGAATACCATAATACGCAACATACTATATACTGTACAGTCAGTTTGGGATGAAATCTGCAGCTAGAAGCTTTGATTACCTTTAACAGTGTAGCTTTGGACTTCATTCTCATTGATACAGATCGTTTCCCACTGACCCTCCTACATGATGGGAAAATCACTCTATGTTAGACTGTGACAGATGTCTTATGTTATAAATATAGTTATAAGTTACACAGCACTTTGCAAATTGACTATTAATCATGAAGTACCTCTCCGTCTCCATCGGCCAAAGAGAAGTAAAAGGAGATGCTGTGGCTGCCAAGGTTGAAGTCGATCCAGAATTCCTCCAACTTCTCATCAGCAGGCATCAGCAGCTGACAACAGAACCACAATCATTTCAACACAGCTACAAACAAACTTATTAGTATATGGAACAGTTCATAATAACAAGAGGGTACTTTTTTCCTTGGGCTGGGTGATAAAACAATAACAATAATAACTGCAATATATTTTTCATCAACAGCAATATAGCAAAACTCCAATGAATATCAATATAATGCTAATGAATTGTGAAAGCACAGTGAGAAGTTATATCACATAATCAATCAACCTCAGATTTGTTTCTGTTTATCAAGTGGTTGCCATTCTCTGCTGGTAAAGAAGAGTTTAAAACCAAAACCTTTATTCTGGAGCAAAAATCACAAAATTGAATCATGATAATCATTGAAATTAACTGATATGAACATTTCTTGATAACATTTTGATATTTTCTGGCATATTGCCTACTTGTTCCTATGTATCTTTGCACATCCTGTTTATACTGACCTCATACTTGTCCAGATAAACTTCCAAACAAGGGTATGAATACACCCTACAAGAGAGAACACTGACATTCAGTTATGTGCATCTTTATTTTGCAAAGCATGTGTCCTACCTTTGTCCTATCTAAAAACCAACAAATTCTGTACATTTAAAAAATCGTATAACAATATAATTTTTGTTATGAGCTTACATAGAATTACAGTGTATTCTATGGATGCTTGTTATCACTGGTGGAAAGAGACAGATCGATAGCCAAAATGGTCATTCTTATTTCTTTGTACTTTGTGTTCGAGCCAAAGGTGTGTACCAGCCAAACTCAATCATATGTAATGCCTTGTGAAGCACTGAGCTATGGTGTGTATGTATTTTACCTTCTCCTGTCTCCCTGCATCCCATTCACTAAATTGAGAAACTTCCGACAATCCTGAAATCACACACATTTACATTAAATTCTATGTAACATGTTGTAACATTACAACAATAAATTCCCACAGTATTGCAACAAAATGAAATTGCTGATGAGATAAATTAGTATATTTTACCGTCTCAAACTCAGAATCATGGATCTTGGCAAAGGCACTGGCCACATGCACCATGCTGAACCATCGATCTGCCAGCTCCCTCCTCTGGACAGGAGTGGCCATCCTGCACAATGCCTCGGTCAGGGCTGTCTGCAAGTCGTAATCTGACACAAAACCACTGTACTGTACATTTTTGGTAAGCAGTTTGTAAGTATGGTTCTTGATGAAAAAAAAAAGGAAAAGATATCATACTACTCATAACACTTACCACCACCCTCCAATATCCGACCAGCCAGCTTGATCCTGTTGAAAATTGTTCAACACAATTCAAGGTTGTGTAGCTAGTTCGAAATAAAATGTAATAATGACAGTGAGCCAGCTATGAGGAAACTACCAAGACATACATGATATCTGAGGCCTCCTGTGATGTTAGGATCTTCCTCTCTTTCTTGAGCTCCACTGGGATTTTGTCCAGAATTAGATTAAATTTACGAATTGCCTGTTAGAAAATCATTAGCAAGTTAATCTATGAACAAACACCTGACTCACAGTTTTTAGTGCTGCTCAAATAAGCTAAATGGTTATAAAAAAAATGTCAAACCTCCTTCTGGATCAGGATGTAGATTCTAGGATCAATTCCCAATTGACCAACAGGATACAGGAAGGACTCTGTGATTTTGTATGTTCCTACAAACAACATATAGGAATACTATCTTCAATAGAGACTTAGCACATAAACGGTTTATATTAACTAAGGTTTATCATGAAAGCGTTTAAAGTTAAGCTCTGAGATGGTCCTACAATGATTGTCCTGTATTTTAAAGCATCATTATCTTTCATGTTAATGTATTGCCACAATCGTTCCTTTTATAAGTGAGAGTTACCTCAAAACAACATTGAGAGCACCTGATTTAACTGTGCCCTCAAATATTAAACATGCACTGAGGTTGAATCAGAAATTAAGAAATGTACGAGCGTACCCTCTTTGGAAGCTTCATGTACCACCTATAAGAGAGGACAGAAATCCGTTTTCAGAACGGACACTTACATGACTGTTTTATTATAGTAAGTGTTTTACTGTTAGACATTAGCTCACCATTAGGGCATCAAAGAAATCCTCAGAAAGGTTGAACAAAGTCTCATCCCACTGTGGGCCACAGTGGATCCACAGCTGCCTGCATTTCTCAAACCACTGTACCATGTGCATAAAACCAGATTCAATCAAGAGCTGAATACATTTACTCATAGAGCACTCACACACAATTTGGCTTTATATATTAGATGTATACTTATCTTTTTGATAAGGCCACGAACTATCATTCCAGCGAGGCCTTGGCCACCAGGTAGTTTCAGTTTGTCCCCATATTTGGAGATGATAGCAAGAGCCAGACTAGCTGATTTGGAATCTTTTTGATCCAAACACTAAACAAACAGCAGAGACATGATTTCATTACACCTGCAAACAGCACATTAGCATGGCATGTTCGTCAGTGTGATGGGCCACATCCTACCTTGTGGACAAGTTTATCCAATTTGGTGAGAAACTGTTGGGAACAGTTTAAAGAGGTCCCTTCATGTATGTCCCTTTGCAAGAATACATCCAGTGCGTGGGCACCCCCACTCTTCAAGACCTCACCAATGACTTTCTCCAACTGCGTAAAAAATGCAAACTTTTTCATTGTTACAGTACTTCATCAACAACTATTGGTGAAACGTTACGTTAAGTGACAGTAATGTTTGTAAGGTGAGCTGTTAAAGTACTGCATTCCCACCTGTGTGTCCTGAGCCGGTGCCATTCTTCTCTCCAAGTAGCAACGTCCTGTGCTGTCTTCAGAATAACTGTAAAGCAAAACTGTGATAAAGCTGCAAATCTTCAAGCAACTCGAACATGAATTTTAATGTATTTTCACTCTTTATTTAATTTATTTTCTACTCCCTAAATTGCTTCAACACCTTTTTGTATCTGTTTCCAGGAATAGAACCAATATAATCCTGGTTATAAATATACATACTGGCATAGAAAGTTTGTATGTGCTCACATACTGTTATTGTAAAAGAGGTCTCGGATAAAAAACAATAAGCTGTAGCAGGACTCAGGTTTGTGTTTGAAAGCCATCATAACATTCCTTGATTAAAAATAATGAGGCGCCTAATCAAACAATATGAGCAGTTAGCATGACATTACATAACTGTGTTTACTGTTAGTGATGTTAACTAGCTAACCGCTGACAAGCTAACATTGTCCTGTTTATCTGTCATCATTGGTATAAACTTTTCCTATAAGTAAGCTGATCAAAACTGTAGTAAATTAGTAAATATACTTAAATAATTAGAGCTTACTGAGGTACAACTCGTCCCATATATGACCTCATCACTCTTCAGTTTAATGCTACTCTAGTGTTAGCTTAAGATGCTAGCTGCTAATACTAGCGGCTAAACGTTAGCACTAGCAAACACTGATTTCCGGAGACAACGTTGAGTGACCTGTGAACAATTTTAAACGTTTAGGAGATGCCGTGTTAATTTTTTTTTATCTTGTAATGTTACTCACCGTGGGGTAAAATCCAGCACGCTAACCTACTGGTTTATCATAGTTAGCATGTAGCCCCGTGAGAGACGCGCGAAATCTCAAAGTGCAGCGCGCGTGCGCAGAGCAGTTCCCGGCTCGTGTGATGGACTGTCACACTTAAACTCAGCGGGGGTGTTTCGAAGATTATGGATTCCTCAGCTCTAATGGAAAAGGTGAATCATGTTTCTCTGGCATCCCGCCTGCATTTTAGCCTTTGCAGACATGATCGTCTGCACTGGATGATTCCACTTTAACATGAATATGAGTCTTATATTGATAGTAGCACATTTCCCATCACCAGGCTGCCCTGGTCTCCTGACAGTAGTATCATCACCTTTAAATGAAGTTGGTCATGTATGTTTGTATTATGGTTGGATGAGGTTGGGTTCAAGTACAGTCTTTGTTTACCATGTGATCACTGGTAACCAACCACAGCTTCTGGTATATGAAGTGTTATGAAACTGTTATTGTGACAGATTACAAAATGTCTCAGTGGTTTCTCCCTCAGCAAACCTCATGATGAACATGCTGCCACATGGAGAGCTGCAATCATAATGCTGGCATTGAAACAAGTATTTAAAAGGCTGACAGTGTTAGATTAAGGGAGACAGGGAATTTCCGGTTGAGTGCGACAGTGCTTTCAAAGATTTAAACTGTACTGTCAGTTAATTAAATCACAAACAAGTTATGATAAACTAATTCGTTTTTTATGCCATAGTTATTATTTACATTATTTGTGTGATCTTTATATATACTTATATTTACATAAATATATTACTATTACTATATATATATATATATATATATATGTACAAATATATAATGATAAATGATTTTGACATTTCAAAACGGACTGTCTATTCCCAAGTTATTACCTTTTCAACCCTTGACCTGTGGTATACCTAGCAGTGTAAGTCATGCCTTAACAGTACAGTGAATCAGCTAAATTCATGTATGATTGGTTTGGATCAAACACATGTTGACATTTTTACATGCTGGCATGTGTGATACGTTTTAATACGTTTTCCATTTCATACGTGTCCCACTCAGCCAAGACAGTTACACTTATATCAGGTCGACAGATGGAGTTGGTGATTTTGTTACTTCACTGATGAGGACCTCTATGAAAAGAATATCACTTTACTGCAGAGCAGCTTATTCAAACTTAGCTAAAAACATCTATAAAAACACTCAGTCACAGAAGCTAGTGGAAGACAGCTGAGAGGTGGGACTTTTACTAACCTTAACCCTATATAAATGATACAAATACAAATACTTATAAAAGCTGAACATTATGTGTGACTGTGCTTTATTATTTACCAAACTGAGCATTAATTTCATTATTCATTAAAATACATTTGGAGATATGGTTTGACAAGACAAGAATAATATCTGACCACAGAGGGAAATGGTTTGGCAGATCAAACTCCTGCATTGTATAAAAATAGTTTTCTTTGTCAAATAACCACCTGGAAGTGCTGTTATTTCAGTTTCACTGAATATTTATGAAGCACTCTGTGTGTGTCATCTCCACTGGATGTTCCCCCATTAGAGTACAATTTGCATCTAAGTAGCCAGGAAATTCAGTGCATCAAAAACAGTAAAACAGTGGCACTTTAGTTAGCATCAGGTGAGAGTGCAACAGTGTTTCTGACTACGTTTATTTACAGTTAATCTTGGAACTAACTTGAGTCAAAGAGATCCTCTGTTAGCATCAGACTAACAAAATGAACAGTATATGACAATGCAGTTATACACTTGAAACTGCTCTTGCTAAAGTGCTTCTTAATGGCTTTAGTAGGCGTCTTAAATGAAGTGTACCATACTATCCTCACATTCTTTAGGCACAGTGAGCTTGTAGCTATGGCAAACCAACTTATAATTCTCGCCATCATTGTTGTCCCAGTATTCATCCCCACAGACTTTGTACTGAATGGCAAACTCCAACACTGCTCCTGGCTGTAGGAACGGAGGAACAGGAAGGTGGAAACGAAATGTATCACAACTGAGTTGGCCTCCTCCTTCCCACGCCTTAGTGATGGTGGACACCCACGAGGCCTTCGTTTCTGTGCAGCTCTTCCACTCTGTAAATGAAAAGCGAGCCGTGACCTCTTTCTCAAAGTCCAAATTGACAACCTGGGTGATTCCGATGACACCCAGTTCAAAACAGAACACCCTCTCCAGACACACTTTCTGCTCACAGAGACGATGCAGGAATCCTGGTTGGTCACCGGGTTGCTCAGAGAAAACTGGCTTCATGTATGGCAAGGAAATCTCCAGATGCCTTCCGTCTGCCAACTCTGCAGCCATCAGCAACCTAAAGGTGACATGATGCGGCACCGATGGATCCTCTCCAGATCTGAAAAGTCTGATGTCTTCCAGGTCGAGGCCCAAAGAGTCGATGAAACGTACACCAACATTCCTGCAGTGTTTCTTCCCCTCTGTGCCGGATGGCAGGGAGTGGGAGCGTTTTCGGATGATGGGTTTCGGCGTGGGTTCACAGGAGAAGCTGCGGTGGAACTCTTGGTCCCTTGGCAGAGATGGCACCCTGGGGCTTGGCGGGCGGATGGGAATCGGCTTCTTTGTTGCTTTAGGTTTATCTGCTTGAAGCATTCCAGTCAAGTTGATAGTCATGCAGGGCATTGAGACACACATCTGCGGCTCAGATTTTGTCAAGGGAATCCTCTCATGTCCTATAAACCACCCTCGATCCATGATCATTAAGACTTGGTGTCCAGCTCACCTATGAAGAAAGTTACAAAGTATGATTTATATCACTAAGTCACATCCATGCTCAAACTTTCTTTGAATCAGAGGCATTAAGACCCAGCTGTAACTTCAATTATATCTTTTTACCTAACATAGCATGGCGGTGTGCTGCAAATCTGAAAGAACAAGCTATTTCGTTGTTGTAAAATTGTTAAGACGGAAACCGTGTTTGCAGGAGGGGGAGTGGGCGTGTACCCTGTGAGTACGTGCCTGCGCGCACACAGCTCATCTCTCTCCCTCTCTGCGCGGTTGTAACATGAATTAGAATGCACTTCTTTAAAATCAGACACTGACATCACCTCACCATGTACAGATGTGATGCGTAAGGCTGCAGCATGTAGCCTAGGTTGCCTCCATTTAAAGTTGCTTTTATTATGGCTGCACGTTTCTGTGCGTGATGGCGTCTGCGACTGCGTCACCTGATTTGTAAACACACAACACTGCAACACACATGCACGACAACACACTGCTGCAGATGGAGATCCTCTAAACACGAGAGCAGGAAGCTGCGCACGAAGAGGAATATGACTGATGCTTCATGGGAAACCGAGTCAAATAAGACACACTGTTATAACTATGTGCCTCATCTGTCAACTTAAGTGTTTAAGTATGGAGTTGTGCACTTTCCTCGGTTGCATTCGCTGTTTATCAGAAGTAAGTGGACTCACCGAAGAGCGTCTGCATGTTCACTTTGCAGAAGCGGCTGGTGCGCCTGAACTCCGACTCCCAAGATGCACCCGTGCACGCTCCCTTCACACAAACTGCGAGCCAGTGAGCAGCAGGTAAACAAACCAATCTGACTGGGACAGCGAGCTAAAGAAAGCGTCTGCGCTGTTTGACCGTCTTGCATTTTTAATTGCGGCGAAGATGACAGTCGAGAAAGAGACGCATCTGCTGTAAACAGTTTATTACAAATAGGAAATAATCGCTCCATTGTTACACGCGCAGCTCGACGATAAAAACTAGGACGAGTTCAACCTGCAGCGGAAAAGCGACCGTCGACACCTGCGCATGATGCACTGCACCACTTTTGAGAAAACCGGTATTTTCAGCCTCATTCTCCGGATAGAGTATCTGATCCGAGATGTCGGTTGGGTCCTTTAGCCACCGTGTCGTTTGAAATTGTGCTGGACTCTTCAATCAACAACATCCCCACCTGGCAACCTAACAACATGGGGCCCATCATGCAGGAACACACAGCAACCACGACTCTCAAACGCATCGTCTCCAAAGACAAGATTCGGGTGAAAAACACTGAAAATAGCGGACCAGTAACCAGGTATTCCTAATATTATGCAAGCAGGTAATAGTAAATTATAGTTGTCATGTTTCACTTCGGACTGACAAGCACTGTCATGTTTTCCACAGTTCAAAGAAAGGTAACAAGATGAAGAAAGCAGTGAGCCAAATGAAAAATGGCCTCCCAGGACCAGGTCAGGATAAGGACACAGTGACTACAGTGCAGAAGGCAAGTGAATGCAAAAATAGTAAATCTAAAGCGATATGAATATTCTATCTTTTTGTCTTTTGATTGAAGGGGAAACAATGTCAGAAATCATATAACAATTCATGCAATGATTATTGTACAGGGTGCACAGTCAAATGGTGGAAGGGTCAAATATGGCTCTTCACGGAACACAAGCAAACTCTCCAGGTATGTGTGGAAAAAAAAAAAAAGAGTGTGTCATACTGAATGTTTTACTTCAGGTACACTAAACCCCTAAATCCCTAACAGGCATTTCTGACACTTATCTGCCTCTTTACAGCCCTGAAGACGGGGAGATGAGACCTCCACTCCGCAAACACTCATCTGTGCAGAGGAAAGAGGAAAAACTAGAAAATCAGCGGATGTCACAGTGCAGCAATGAGCTACAACCGAATCGGGCAGGGATGGGGAAAAATCGGCGAGCCCTCTCCCTGCCCCTCTCCCCGATATCGGGGCTACGACACATGCCAATGCACCCCCTAACGCACTCCCCAGCCCCCACCCCAGAGGCACTACAGCAGCACTACAACCAGAAGGATGACGACACTGACAGTGCCAGTGATCTGTCAGACTCAGAGAGGCTGCCTGTGCTGCCCTCCCCCTGTACCCCCTGTACCCCTCCTCATCTCAACCTGCGAGCAGAGGTCATCAACACTAATGACTTTCCCCCGGACATCCCAGGACCCTGTGGGACTTTGGGTGATGAAGATGAAAGTGAAAAACCCAGCTACAGTTACCAAGAATTTCTGCCTCCTCCCTTCAACAGCTGGAGCCTCAGACAGCTGGCGGTGTTTCTTCATACAGAGGGCCGTGGTGCCCCCCGCCCAAAACCCGTAGGTTCCTTGGAGAAGTACCTGGAGAGGCTGCTGCAGCTGGAGTGGCTCCAGATCCAGACAGTGCAAGCTGAGAGCAGTCGTCCACCTGGAACTCGAACAAGGCCACAGAGCTTCCCCTCTGCCACCACAGCTCACCCACCCAGGCCTCACACAGCTCCACCGTCCCGACTCAACTCCCCTAAAGGGTTGCGGCAAAGCCAGCGAGCCTTCCCGTTTGCACCTGTTAACAACCCCCCATCACCTGCCTCAACTCAGCACCAGCTCTCCCGCTGCCCTCACTGTCACATTCGCTACCCGATGTGCAACGGAAGCTGCTCTGCCTATGCCTACCAGCGGCACTCACGGCTAAGCCCACTGCTTGAGCGCAGAGCCGGACCTGGGGCACCAGCGAAGCGGAGCAGCAGTGAAACCCGAGCACCTTCCACGGACGGCAAGAGCCCAGGAGGACAAGGTGGGGGTGGAGGAGGAGCCCAGACGCCAGTTAGCCCCTCGGCCGGGAAGAGTCATATCAGGCACATGCAGGCCGCAGGCAACGCCAGAAAACAACCCCAGGAATCTGGGACAAACCCAAACTGTAGAGGTCAGGTCAGGAAAAGCCGCATCAGAGCCAACTCCGAGACAGATGTTAAAAAGGTTGACATTAAAGCAGCCAGTGCAGAGAAACGTGTTTTAGCTGCAAGTAAAAGAGAGGTCATCACCTCTAAGAGAGTGGAGAAGGATTGGCAGAAAGCAGAGTTGGGAAGTCAGGCCACTAAAACTTCTGTGAAAAGAGCTGCTAAAGAGCCGCCATTGCTTTCCAAAGCACCGCTCAGTAATAAGCAGAATGGAAAAACAAAAAACGTGCACTTTGTTGCAAAGTAACCCGCTTAGATCTTCAGTGTAGTGCTTTACTCACTGGTTACTTGGTGCAGGAGCTTCAATCTATGCTTGCTTTCTGTGTAATCTGTGTAATACTAACATGTTGTAACTGTTGTACAGCAGTCTAAATCAATCAGTGGTGTGCAGCCTTCAGAAGGTCAAAACTATCCAGACACAGAGTAGCTAGAATAGTTAAAAAAACACATATACGACACTAGAACAGAAGTATTCACACTGTGTTTCATTTCAAATGTACAGTAATTATATCAGGCTGTGTTTTGACAAAAGGTTCATTATGAACCTAAACACAACTACTGATTCAAAAGACAGCTCTTATGTAAACTAAACCCTGTTGCACTGCAGTCATCTTTTAATGTGCTACTGATGTTGAAATAAGCATTAAATAAGCATCTATTATACTGTCAGACAGCTTCCAGCATTAGTAATCCATAGTAAAGTTGAGCACAAACCATCACATGTTATTCATTTAAGACAACCGTAGCCGTTGCTAGTGGAGTTTTTGATGTTGGAATGTATTTGTTTTCAAGGCTTTTACATTACTTGATGTTAAACTATTTTCTTTTGTGCCTCATGTTTTAAGACACATATTCAGTTCAAGCATCTTTGGCTGAAGAGAAGGGGGCACAGTAAGGTGTGGTATGGTGTGTACTGCAGTAATGTAGTTTGTTTCAGATATATTTGTACGATGGTTTTACATTTTTGGTTACAAGGGCTTTTCATGTTTGAACAGCTTGATGACAAACTGTATTTTGCATAGAGCTGAGCTCTTTATATCATTGACGAAGATGGTGAAATGTTTGCTACGAATGTAAAAGCATATTTTTCCAAATTTTATATGCCATAGTTATATTTATGAAATGTTTTGTGGTTGACTTGTTTTCATCATGGTCATTCTTTTGTTTACATCATTGCACAGAAAGAAAAAATATTTAGTAAAAGAGCTGAATGTATATTCTTGTCTCGACTGATGCTGTACCATTGGCCATTCTAAGGATTCAGTGAAATTTAAATGCATCATTAATGTTTGGCTGGAACAACACTTGAAGTCTTTAGAAAACCATGTTTACGTTAGAGTGTCTTGTGTGTTTCTTGTGATTTACCATGTGCAAATGATTCATTGGAACACTTCAGCAATGTACGTGACATCTATCCGGACTGCACCTCTTTACTTCACATTCAGTATCAAAGCCATAGATCAGGGGCCAGGGGTGGCGCTGTTATTATTAATGTGTACGCTATTGACACGCACGCAGAAAGATTGTGGTACGTATTTTCTCAATGTTGAATGCAAGTATTTGTAAGGCAAAGAAATAAATGTTTTGCAAACAAGGGGCTACACCATTCACAACTTTCTTTGTTATTGACCGAAAGCTGCAATCCCAAATATTACAATTATCATGGTCATTAAATCATATTAATAACCAAATTCACTAGCAAATATTTTGTACCAATATACTTTTCTTTGGACTCAATGTATAAAAGAATTTTGCTCAGTAGTTTTAACACATTCAGATCTTACCAAAGGATAAAAATCTGATCCGATCATCACAGTGAACTTATGTTTTTGTGTTCACTGAAGGCTTTCTACTCAAACACCCACACCTAGATGATGAAAAAGTCTTGCATGCCAACTCCTTTTATAGCTGGATAGAGTTCGTGAGAGTGATCACATCCTCTTCTGGCCTGGAAACGGTTTTAGTAGCTGACGAAGCTGCTTCTCTCTGTCATTCACACATCCTGCAATAAAGAAAACATTTACGTGTGCAGTTATTACTAATATTAATCACAACAATGGCTATTCTGTGAGTTTTCTTTTTTTTCTTTAGTTTTTCTTAATTATATCTCAGGAATGCGGTGCATCACTGACTCAAAAAGTTTGCATTAACAGCACAGTTCAGTTACCTAAGTGTGTGTTGGCGGTGAAACACGAACTCCCAAATGTTTCGGGGTTGGCATCCTCTCTGTAGACAGGGCCATCGTTCCACATGAGATCGTAGCCACCCACCCTTTTCTCCTTGCCTGTCAGCCTAATGAGATAAAGATTGTGATTTCTAGAATGAATATAGACACACGTTTCCTGATGATAAAAAGTTAAACATGATGAGGCCGTTACCTTCCCTCCATATCAACAACATTCAAAGTGTCTTCCAGCAGCCTGCACTTCATCTCATAATCCTCTTGACTACTGGGCGTGTGTGACGGAGAGGCATTCACCTCAATTAACCACCTGCAAATAGATGGAGAGCGATGACATTCTCCAAAATTTGCATTACCTTTTGAGTCAATAATTGGCAGAACAGTGCAAACAGTTCAATAAAGATTGTTAGATGAGGTGATGGCTGATAACAACTTAATTAAAAGTGTTAAATGATTGTTTCCTGATGTGATCACAGTTTCATCTGTGACATGAGCAATGACATTAAAGCTTTTTTGTGTTCTGCTCAACAACTCACAAACCTTTTTGACCTTTTTGCAGAACCTAAATCAAATGGTGCAAATGTGAACTCATTTTCTTCAGCCTTACTACCTAGACATCAGGTATATTGTGGGCAAAGATAATATTGTTGGGTCAACGATATGACATCCATTTGTTGTGTCAAATAATTTAATCAATTCACTTTAATCTCTCTTTGAATATTCTTTCAGTACATTTAAATAATTTGAATATTCCTTTAGTATCTCAAAGTTCCTAAATATCGGGAGATGACACCTTCAAAGCATGTTTGACAGTGTACAGACGTTGGACAGAGAGTTTCAGACCTTTGCCTTCAGGTCAGAAACTGAGGGGGCGACAAGCAATGAATGGTCAGAGGACCTGAGTGACCCCTATAGGGTGTTAAAAGTTCAGACAGGTGAGCAGTTCAAGAAGAACCAACCAATTCATCAAGAACAGTTTAAAATAACCCCTAAAGCTGACAGGGATCCAATGGAGGACAGCAAACCAAGCTGAATTATGCTCAAGCTTTTTGGGAGCTAGTCAGCAACCTCGCAGCAGTGTTCTGCACGTACTGCAGGTGTGAAAGGGAAGACTGACTGTCTCCCATGTACAGGAAGTTGCAGTAGTCTGGGCAAGCAGTAATAAATGCATGGATTACTTTCTTGCAATCTTTGAATGATGGAAAGGCTTTTGCTTTCGGGCTTGAATTTGGTTAATCTGTTTATCACATTTGAAAGCATGAGTCAAAAATTACTAAAAGTTTCCTTGCCAGCAGTTTGACAAAGGGTGAAAAATGGCCAAGCTTCCCACCAAGAATATTAGTATGTTCAGGGGGGCCAAAGAGAACCACCTCAGTGTTTTTCCATCTGGTTTTCTGTTCAAATTTACGCCAATGTTAAAAAGCTAAATGTTATTTTCTCTATAAAACTCTTTATTCATTTTTAGGAATTGCTAATACATGAAACCTATTACAAATGAGATATTTGCCATCTACCAGTGTTATACTAAAATTTAAAAATGCTTTAAAATATTTTTTAAACATGACTTCCATGAGGATTCCTGTATTTGGTGATTTAAAATCTGAGATAATATTTGTTGAATGCATTTAGATATTTTATATTCATTTTTTGAATTGACTGAAACTTTCCTTTAAAGTGTAACAAACTAAAACATGACTTTGTTATTGTTCAGTTACAGTCCATTACAGTGTGTCAAATCATACTACATTGTGTACCGAACAAGAAGTATCCCATTTTCCCAACAGGTTATTAACTATGATGGAGACAGCTGTTTCATTAAATGCATTCATTTATGTATTTGTTTGCCTTGTTTTTAAATGTAAACATTTGCTGCTAATGACAAAAAATAACTGGCCACTGGAATGTTATTATATTGAATTACTATCAATGCATTTAAAAATAACACATTATTGAATGTATACACTAAGAGATACTTGCCATAGGATATCATATACAGACAAATATTATGTTACATGAAAATCTTTGGGCAGTGAGGTAAGGAATATTGTTTAAAAGGAATATAATTACTTTGAAATGTAATTTCACGAATTAGACTTTTTTAAACACAGCGTTTCAAATAAAAAGAGATACACGCTTTATGTCCAGTTTGGAAATCCTTTTTAGAAATACCTGGGAAACCTTGTCCCATTCAGCTGTATGAAGAGGGGAGTAGTGTCAAATGTTGTTAGATGTATTTGATAAGGCAGTTGTATTGGCAATAGGCTAAGCAATTCTCATCTTCAACATTGTAAAGTAATTATAGTTTGTTAAATGTAAATAGGTCAAATTGTTCCTGGTCTAGGGTAGGAAGCCTGTCTTTGGGTGACAGCCTCATTCATCTTGTCCTTCCCTGTTGTTTGGCAGTATTTTTTCGAGATTGCTGGGTGCAGATGATACCTTTTCAGCAATGCACCACACCTAAGCATTCTGGGCTTTGGAGGCTATATATCAGGGCTCTCGGCCTCTTCCCTTCCATGGGCTGTAGACCAATACTGTCGTACTTTTGTTCCTACTTATATACACACAGACACTGCATGACCTGATGATAGAAACACCCTCTTATGTAATATACCTTACATTATTCAAGAAGGTCCTCTGCATAACTTAGATTACCAACTACCAGTAGATGTTGGCAGGTGTTAGCGGCCACCAGTGGATAATAGGGACATAACTTCAGTTGTGCACCTTAGCGTCATCTAGTGTTTTGGGCTTGTAATCGACAATACATGGCGAACCTGGGGGTACGCTGAGGAAAAATGTAAATCTAACTGGCTACTGGCTTGTATGGCAGTACTATGAAAGCCATGTGGCCTGCTCAGAAGATCAGACATCACTACCTCTATGCCTTTTTAAACTAAATGCTGTCCCATTGTAGAACATATGAGAAGCTGGAGAATATTCCTTGTACGTTCTGACGCACTAATTAATGCCTACTGCCAGTTGATGTTATCGGATGTTAGTGACCACCAGCGGATATTAGGGACATATCTTCAGTTGTGCACCTTAGTGTCATCAAACCTGATGGGGATGTTGCAAGGAAACCCCTGCAGCCAACCTCCACAGGACAAACTATTGCTTTCCAGCCTTGTTGCTCTGCCTCAAAAGTCATGTCTGCATGTCGCAGTCTTCTCCTCTCATTCGCCTTATCAACATTATGCTCCGAGGGGAACTGTCAATTCTACGAAATAGACGACGCACAGGGTATTGGACCAGAATATCAGGTCAGGTCAGGTCTTAGGGCGGTAGTGACAATATGCGATGGGACTGTAAGCCGCTGGCCTACGTCCACCAACATCAACCAGTCTTGGGCTTTCTCCAACTGACCACTCTTGGTCAGTGAAGGAGGCCCCTGTTTCCCCTCACAGACAAAAGTTTTAATTTGGACTGAGTTTGTTGTTTTTGATGACAAGGCATTGGTAGCAGTTCTCTTTGTTTCTATTATTGCTGCAAGGCTTTAGTGTATGTGTGTTATTATTTACAGCAGTGTGCAATCAGTTATTGCACACCTGTTAGTTTTTCAGATACACTGTTGAGCATTATGAGGTTATTTCTCTGAGTCAAACACTGGCAGATTTACTGCTTTGTTTTGAGGTATTCATGATGTCTAGTCAAATGTACAATGTTTGCTTGTCAGTGCATGTGCTTTTCTGTGCTTATTTGTGAGCATGCATGCCTGAGCAGTACATGTTTGCAAGTGAAAATATGTGGCAGGTAATGCACTGTGTTGCCATGCGGACACTGTGTTTATGAACACTTACGGTTTGAGGTTCTGATCCAGCAGAATGTCGTAGCCGTAGAGCTCGAAGCAGTGTTTGTCATTTATAATGACCTTTTGTACACTCTGGAGACTGCGGACAAAGATATTATCCATCTCTTTGAACAGGATTTCTACCATCTCTCTACCGTGCTTTGCAGTCAGGTATCTTCGAAGCTGCTGCAACTGCCACTTACATCCCTACTTAGAGATAGATAAAACAATGCAACAATATACAGTATAACAGATGTAGTTACTATAAAGAGAGACACTTCCTCCAAGAAATATAACATTATATCATGTGAGGTTCTTTAATTGCAGACCTTTTCAGGATCATAGTCAGGTGCTGTTTTTTGAACAGCCACATTGGTGAGATGCATATCTAAAAACAGACATTAAGGATAATTTATTCAGGCTTTGTTCAGAGAGTTGCTGGTGATCAAAAAGAAACTCTCAAATGGATGGTGACAAAATGTCATGACACCAAAAAAAAGATACACTTGTCATCAATACTTCTCAGAGAGAAGCGGGTGCTTGAGAAGCGAGCAAAGCCATCTCGATACAGCCAGGCCTTCAAGGGAACATACTGAAACATACAAGGAAGCACACGCACTGGTTCATAAATTAAGAAAGATTTAAATGGTATAAAATTCTGTGATTTGCAATACATCTGCTAAATACATACTGATGTGACCAGAATATAGATCCTCAGATCAAATTTCCTGCCTGTGGATACAAAAAGTATAAAAAGAACTGAAGGAAGAAAAGTTTCTCTTCTGTTTTGGTCACAAATCCTCTTGGTCCCAATTTGTCTTTTGTAAAATGAGTTGTTGGGAATTTACAATAACATTTATTTCTCATCCAGTTTATTACCATTAATAAGGTAGGGGTTCTCTATGTAGCGCTGTGCCACATAGCTTTCCACTTGGGCTGCATCCTTCTGTTCCTCTGAGCGGGTGCCATCCTGTGTGAGCACAGTGTTATCAGTCTGAATGGCTGTGTGTGTGTTTATTTTAGTCAATTTATAACCAGTTATTCAATAAAATCAGCACATTACCTTCTTCCAATCCATGATGTCTTTCAGTTTCCTGAACAGAAAAATGCCTTTCCCTTGTGATTTTGCTACCTAAATAAACATACCAGTTAATTTTAATTAATTTTATTGCACTGGATTAATCTGCAGTGTGCTTTCACTAACTGGCTTCATGATCCAGGTGCTGCCAGTGCTTCTTTTGAACTCCTCTACAAAAAGATGATACTCGCTGGGCAGTGCAAAGGTGCTGGGGAAAAAATCACATTTGGATGCCTCCATGTAGCCAACATCTCTTTCAAGGTTCTTCCTGTACCTTTTGAGGTTCTTCACCATGAGGTTTTTGCGAGTCAGCTGTAATATAAAACAAAGAAATGAAAAAATATATATGTTTATTACTGCTAAAATATCCAGGGTACAGTCTCGTAGCAGGCTGGACCGATGCCACCTCACCTCATAATGGTTGCGAAAGTGGTTTACCCTCACATGTTCCTCCATGTACGAATTATCAAAATTCTCCCTGAGCCAGCCCACGTCACACCAGTTGAAATCCCACTCTCCATCACTGACAAAAGATAGCAGATATAAACCAGTTAATCCAACAAGGATGCTACTGTGATGACGAAACAAGACAACCGCCCTCACTCTTTGACTTCAACCCAGCCGGGTCTTTGGTGCAGGACGTTCTGTATGGTGTTGAATAGGCCGCATTTGAAACGCACAGAGCTTTTTCCCTCCCTGAGGACACATAGGAACACAGGGTTAACTGTGCTTTTGAATGAAGGTATACATCAGCAAATATATAAAAACACCCACCGCTCCTCGTTTTTGCCGCAGTTGTATGAACCTTTGTATCCGGGTGTCTGCAAAGGTGGAGAAAGCAAACCAAGATTTAAATCCCAATGATCAGAAGTTCAAGTTTATTATTATTATCATTTTTATTATTATTATTATTATTATAAGTAGCAGTAGTAGTAGTAGTGTTATTATTAATTGCACTTTACAGCTGTGAACCATCCATTAGTTAGCAACTCCTCTGGCTCCCTTATTATTAGCTTCGTTTACAACAAGCTAACTCTCAGTTTATGCCTCTCATACCTTTGTTTTCTAACTCTTTACATTTTTCCTGGTCATTTGCTATTTCTCCCAAAAAGGTCTCGGGCAGAGTTTAAACCAACCGCGCCTAGATGTCTTCTTTTACCAACTCATGGGTTCTCATAAAGTAAAATGTAGCTAACACGAGCTAGGGTATGCTACATCACATAGCTTATTATGTAGCTAGAAAGACTACAAACATGTCCGCACATGGCGCCGTCTGTTTACCTTATTCTTTGACATGGATGCACGCACCACGTAACGATAGCAAGTTACTGTGGCTAATGTAATTACATTTAAAAGAATATAATAAGTTGAGTTTAGTTAGCAAAGCTCCGCCATGCTGTCCCCGGTGTTTGAAAACAAAGCTGTTACCATGGCAACCTCACATGAGCGTGTCAGAGGGGGGTTGTCGCATTGTTGTTACCGTAGCGACGCCTCAAACTTTATTTATGATCAAAAATAAAGACCTACTGATCCACTAAGCTTGTTATTGCGTGTATGTTTTTGTTGAAAGTGATTTAGAGTAGGTTTGATCGTGTGCAGTCATTTTGGAGAATGTCTAGTTTGTGGTGCTGTTTACTATTGCATCATTTAGATTTTTTAAAACATTATTTGGCCTACCCTCATATGATATATTTATAATAAAAGTGGAGACAACATAATTTAAATGTTGGGGACAAAAAGGACAATTACCTAATTACAAATATAGAATTTCTAAGGTTATTATCAGACTAAAAATGTATCACACACATTTGAATGTATTTGAAATGAAATGATACTGTCTGATTTTTGATTTTAAGTTAGCTTTCTTTCTCGTTTTTTTTTTTTTTCAGATTTGCTTTTACCCATCATTGCTCCTCAACTTTACAATCACATCACCACTTTGTGGCGCCAAAACCTTGAAAACTTGTAGCAAATGTTTATTCAATACCTTCATTAGTATTTGATTCATCTGCCAGCAATAAATATATCCTGCAATTAAGATGTCAGATCATTAACCTATGAGTATTATCTATGATAACATCTATAAAAAGGGGTAATGTGTAAATTTAGCCAAAATTTGTGTTCACTTTGGAAATGCAAAGATAAACATCATCGCCAACTTTATCCTTTTCTTTTTCACCATCTTCACAATGCTACATTCTGACATAAGTTATCAAAACTACGGCAAAATAATTAAATTGTATGTAATATTATTTATATTATATTATCATTTCATATCATTTACGACAAATATGCCCACCAGTAGAATAATAAACTTGTTTACATAAACAACTGCAATTGTTATGGATGCATTTCAGCACACGCTGAACTCTTCTCTATGATATTCAGTGACAAAACATGCCTGAGGGACAAATGGCGCAGTTATTGCACATAGTGATTTACCATGACAAGAAGATTACGAAAGAACAGTCTGGAGTGGAGAGAGATGGATCATTCTTCAAGTCAAGTCAAGTCAGGCAGAACTTCTTGTGTCGCCAGAGGGGCAATTGGTTGTGCAGCAGTAATAACAGAAGATCAAAAAACACACACACAAGGCAATTAGAAACAATGATACAACATAATAAAAGGTAAAAATAATGAGAAAAAAAAAACATACATTGACATAGCAGTCTATATTAATGTGCTACTAAAATTAAAAGAATATTTACCAAGTCAAGTTGATCTGTGTCTCCTGGAATTTAGCATTGAACGGGCTGAGAAGGAGTTTTTTGTGTCTGTCCGGTATATGGAGGCAGCACCTAAAGGCAAAGGTCTGAATTCTCTGCACATCGTCTGTATGCTGTCAGACAGGATATATTCTGTTCCCTTTAGTAATTGGTTTTCACACAACTCGGACACACTTTTCTGTTGATAACATATAACACATTTTATGTTTTAGATTGAAGAAAAAATTGACTCAGTAAGGGATCAGGGACATGTTGAAATTGAACTTAAAGAGCTTCTTCTTGCTTCTTTAACACATCATATTGGTTTTACAGTTTTTTAGCAATTACAGTACCCAAGTAAAACTCAGTGATTTCTAAACCATTAATTTGAGTGATGACAGGATGTTGACATAGTCACGAAGTCTAAAATCAATCCACACACCCTTGTATTTGTTCCTAAAAGGCTTTTTTGACATAATCCATGAAAGTAATACGAGAGGACAGTGGGGCTTTTTCAGACACCATCCCATCTGCAAACTCCACAATGTGATGGTTTACAGCCGCACTGCTGCAGCCAATAATGTGCAGAATAAGTCGGAGAGGAGGGAGAAAACAGCCCTGGGGCAGAACTTAGTTGATGTGCAGAGAAAATGTTCATTCATCCTCATTCTCACAAATCTGTTGGTGATGAAGTTCAAGTTTGAGCCATCGGGCTTTGGATGTTTTGTCGTACCAATTTTCAATGGGTATAGCATTATAACAGCTCAACCTGTACCTAATTCATGAAAACATTTAGATTTATTGCTTTAAACTCCTCTGTGTTATTACTGCAAGAAGAACGTTCAGAGATTCCTGTGAAAAATTACATAAATGGACAACCACCCACCATTTATCAAACAATCAACTTTACTGTCGTCTCTGACATAAATAATTAGAACAGGTTATAATTGAATATAGATGTATGGTTTGGCTGGCTACCAAGATGTCCCCTAAAATAAAGAATGTAGTTCAGGCCTCTCAGCAGTGTGTGGGATCGCTCAGCAGAGCCAAACCCAGCGTCAAAGCCTTGTAGCACACGGATACGTTTTATAATCATTATAAAACATAAACATGTGGTGAGGAAAACTGATTTTCTTTAGAGTTCTTCATTTTGGTTTTATTTTGAAACAATGGCAGGGATAATGTGTGGTTTATATCCATTATATCACTCTACCATCTCTCTCCAAAATTGCATGTCTTTGATACCTTTATGTGTGTGTGGGATTTATAAAAAAAATGTATCACAATTCCAAAACAGCTGGCTATAGCCTATAAGACGGCATCCTTTTTCTTTGAAATATCACCCACATCATCTGCTTGGGCAAGCCTCAGACAGAAAAAACAAGTACCCAGGTGTCTATCTTTGCTGCAGTAGAGATCTATATATAAAGAATGTGATGGAAGTGATGACTACAATTACCAAAACATGTCAAAACAAGCTGATCATATACATGATATATATACAGTATATCATATATATGATATCACTTTTGTTTTACTACATCCTCTCCTGAATGGGTCATGCCCTCAACTTCTCCTGCTCTCTACTTGTACGTGTGTGTAAATGTGGGTGTTATATTGCCTGCAGGTCCAATCACCTTTTTAACGTAGCAACCACTAACTGGTAGCAGAGTCTATGATCTGGCAGCGAATATTTGAAGAGGCTTGATTTACGGTGATGAGATGGCAGCTGGGTGCTCTGCTCTGACTGAGGCACACCTGCAGACAAACAGGAAGAGCATTGCAGCACGCTCCCTTATTTTTATTCACAATGTAGACAAATGACTGCATCGTCCCTACGTGTCTTCCAAAGTTTTCCCTTTGTCGGGAGTTTTCTTCCACCACAGAATGCCAAACCCTATTTCTTAAGCCTTGATAATCAGTTAAACTATTTTGTATTTGTTTTCAGAGACGAACCCAAGTTTTCCATGGATCTTAGATAAATTCCAGCTTTATTGTCAATTTACATTGTGTCGCGTGATGGGACATGCCATCAAGCTCAAGTTAAACCTCCTTAACCAAAAATGGGCCAATGCTGTTGCATGTAGGTTGAAGTTCATCAGAAAAGGAGATGGCATTTGAGCAATGCTGCAACAGGGTCATGAGCAGCAGGTCGATAATCACAGCTCAGTGCAGCTGAGGTTGAACGTTGGAGACTGGACAACTAATCAGAGAGGTGTCATTCTTGCAGATCGGTCTCTAATTCAGACCACTTTTCATCCGTCCAGAATTTGGCTGGGCCAATCATAACCTTTTAAACATTGCATGAAAATATTTATGTAGTGTTTCTGAAAGAAATTAGTTTTATTTAATTTTTTTCATATCAGTGTCTACAATGGAGAGTTATGATAACAACAAAAACAATAATATAATTATATTGATTTAACACACAATAGTCCAGCCTGCATGGTTCAATATAGCAGCAATAATAATGTGAGATCCAACAGCTAATGCAACATTTGGCAGAAGGCGGGTGTGGTTCGAACTGCTAGATGCTGCATCCGAACATTGATAACATCATTAACACTATGTCCCTCAACTGCAACCACAGAGCAGGAAGTCTGTGGGATCCAGGGGCATCAGCTGTTACTCATAATTGAGGCATCTTGCTGACTTACAGTAAGTGTGATATTCCCCATTGTTAAAATGATGATATATACCTACCATATACCTTTCTGCAGCCTCTTAGTAACATCCTTCAGCTCATCTCCGAGTACAGAGGAAATGCCGCTGATTCAGTAAGGAAGGTAAAAAAAAGTGTAAATCTTTGTAGAACGATGGGGTAAAAAGTGCAGTTGGACTATAGAGTCAATGCAATCTGTGCAATGAAATGTGCCGGGGAGTAGCAAAGTGTGAGATCAACTTTGCAATTGTGACATGACAGATTGTCTCCGTCCTGCATATCCCTGAGCGAAATACTCAACTACAAAGAATATTTCAGCTGCCTGGATTTAGACTGCGACTGATGATCAGCCAGGAAATATAGACTTCATCACAGGCTTCTATAAGTGTTTGTGTGTGTGTGTGTGTGTGTGTGTGTGTGTGTGTGTGTGTGTGCAAAAGTGTTTCTCTCTTTTATTATTGCATCTAACTAGATATAGAATGTAATAAAGAGCAGATAGTTCGGCTTTTGACTATATTGAAAAAAGTTATCTGCAGCTCTGCATCACACTTGAGATTGCCTTTCTCTCTGTGCTTGATTTCATGCCCTTATCAGACTGTATGTTACATCATTGTTCTTCATGCTGATAACAACAAACCTGCATATTTGCAGCCTTTGAGATGGTAATTCCTGTGGTTTGTTGTTTCTCTGCTCCCTACTTCAGTAGCTCCACAACCTTCCAGTGGTAGTGAGTGTGCACATCCAAATGTTTTCTAATAAAACATAAGGGGAGGCCAAGAAAAACATGGCAAAGTGTCAGCTGGAATCATCTTGGAATGTATGATATTACCATATGTTTTAAGGTTAAGCCTCTGATGCCTATAGGCAGCAACAGTTAAAAATGTACAAGCACATAGAAAATGTTCATACAATATCCCTGTTTCTTGTAATAGTGCAGAATAATTAAAGTGATCTAGGAAACGTCCTGCTTGGATAATTGAGTTTTATACTAGCAACACTGAACACGAAGTAAACAAATTAAGTACTAAATGTGTTGCGTAATAAAACATTA